GCTGCCCCCTAGTGGTAATATCTATCTGTCCCAAAACTCCGAAGTGCTGAATCTTGACTTCCTTGAGTATATTTTGAACATCCATGCTTAGAGCAGAAATGGACATTAACATTTGAAGAATCTAAGACCTTGAGGTCTTGATTAAATGCCTTGCCCAGAGTTACACAACTTTAGATACTATTATCAAACACAATGATGGCAACAGTAAGAATGAGAAAATCACTAAAATGAAATCAAACTCTAAAACCTTTGAAAAACCAATGAATGTCCCAGATCATTTTGCTTAATGGTTTTTCTTTGTCATGAATGAAGGTTTAATGAGAGGAAGGAGGGAAAGGAGTGTTTGAAATGACTGATGTAAGAGTAAAAGGTAACAAACATTTGTTAAAAAATTAAAAAGTTAGGGACAAACTCCTTCTTAATAGGAAATGGCCCGGGGTTGTGCTTTGAGGAAACACTTGTGTAAAGACACAATTGCAAGAGATAAAAGGTGATGTATGGGGAATAGCTAGCAGGCCAGCTTGACTGGAACAGAGAGTACGTGAAAGAGAGTGCGGTAATATGAAATGGCTAGAAAGGTGTGTGGGAGTCAGAATGGGGAACCTTAAATGTCAAGATTTGTAATTTATCCTAGAGGCAATAGGGAACCAGGAAAGATTTTGGAGAAAATGTGCAGTGCTTTCCAAATATATTCACTTCATAACCAAGTGTTTTAAGTTAAAACAAAATAAAGCCAAATAAAATCCCTAGTGTGGTCTACCATAGATTTCAGAGGTTTGTGAACTTGGATAGGAAAAAAATTAGGTCTTCATTTTCACTGATCTCTAATTGAATTTTAGCATTCCTTTCTATTATTTAAAATACATTATTCTGAAAATGGGTCTATGGGTTGAACCAGGCAAAATTAAGAGCCCCGGCCCTAGAGTGACCTATGTAGCCCAGTCTTCAGGAACATCTGAGTTCAAATCTTTCTTTAAATATTAGTTGTTCAACCCTGAGCAATACCTTAACTTCCTTGAGTCAGTTTCCCTATCAGTAAAATAAGAATGATGAAAGTCACAAGACTTTTGTGAGGATCAATGAGACAATAGCTACAAAACATTTTTCAAACCTTAAAGCACAATATAAATGTAAACTCTATCACCTATGGCCCAGAGAAGGGGTCCTTCCACAAGGGGGGCTCTAGAGTCACACAGTTTAAGTCTGTCTTGTGACGGACCCAACTCCAAAGGAAAGGTGAGGGTCCATTTCTCTGGATTATCATCCCCCTACAATTTTAGATAATATCTAAAACAAGACATAGATACGGCTCATATCTAAGCTGTCTCTTAAGAGGAGCCTTCTGGGGAAAAGCATTCACTGTTCTAAGTAAAAATCAGGTATAGGACAAAACAATTGACATACATTGTCTCATTTCATCCTCCCAACAACCCTGTGGGATACATGCTATGTTATACCCATTTTACAAATGAAAAAACCGAGGGCATCTGAGGTTGGGCTTTACTCAGAATCACACAGCTAGTAAGTATCTGAGGAAGGATTTAACCCTATGTTTTTCTGTTTCCAAGTCCAGGGCTCTGTGTCACCCATAGTGATATGTAGTGATGATGATGATGATGATGATGATGACAGCTAGCATTTATTTAATGCTTTAAGGTTTGCAGAATGCTTCACAAATATTATCTCATTTTATCCTCACAAACCTCTTATTATATCCATTTTATAAATGAGGAAAGTGAGGTTAAGTGACTTGCCTGGGGTCATACAGTTAATAATTGTCTGAGGACAAATTTGAATTCAGGTCTCTCTGAGTGCAAGTGCAGTGGTCTACTGATTATCTGCAATGTCACCTTGCCGCCACTAACTAGCCACGAAAACACGTTAACTTGCTGTACCCATGGAACTGGAATTTTCTGGCACTAAATACATGCATTTATAAAAAGATATATATGTATACATACATATATATATATATATATATACACATATGTCACACATTTTACCCACATATATAAACTATGCCTACATATCTGCCCCACTTCATCTACTCCTGATTTCAAATCTCTTCCTGGTTGAATGGGGATAGAAGGACTATACCTTTTTCTCAGCAGTATGTGGCACCTACACAAAAACTGACCATGCATTAGGGCATAAAAACCTCATAATCAAATGCAGAAAGTCAGAAATATTAAATGCATCCTTTTCAGATCATGATGCAATAAAATTACATTTAAAAAAGGGCATGCAAAGATAGATTAAAAATTAATTGGAAACTCTCTTCCCAGGCCAAGGGAAAGTATTACATATACTTTCAGGGGCTGCTGTGAAAAAGCTTCTCTGGAGACTTTCTCTGATTACATGCTGCTTTTCTCCATCTTCTACTCTTCAAATTCCCTAATTAGTTTGAAAGACCACTAGACCAAGTGGCAATATAGACAGGCAGTAGCCCTTACATGTGCTTCTGTTCTTTTCTATTTTTTGAGACTCGAAGATCCTTGAGAGTAAAGATTTTTTTGTCTTTTTATCCCTAGCAACTATTATTGTGCCTTTAGTAAATTCTTTTTTGTTCTCTTCTCTTCCATTGATAAAATACCTAGGGCAGGTAAACAAGCTTTGGCTTCCCAATGAGAAGTAAACCAACAATCCAGGGCCAAACCCTGGGCAAAAATTCAAAGTATAAGAACATTTTTTTTTGGATCCTCTCACCTGCCCTAGCTCAGGTGCCTTCTTTTTGCGACCTAAGGCCCCCTACTTCTGGGCTGTACCCAGGGCTGACTTCCTCTAGTCAACTGAATTCAATAAACATTTATTAAATGCCTGCTATGCACAAAGTATATACCAGGGTTATAAAGACAAAAAAGTAAATAGTGAAAAATGTGTGCTAGTGTGGGGACTTACCACTGATTATTTTAGCCCATGCTAAGGAGAATACCACTAAAATTGAGTAGATGAGAATGCCTCATGTATTCACTATATAGTGTGATCGACTCTACTTAACAATAATTTTTTGAAATTAATTATTTATTTATTTTTCATTTTCAATATTCCTTTTATAGGAATAAAATTTTCAGTTCTAAAATTTCCTTCTCCCTCCTCAAGACAGCATGCAAACCTGATATAGACTATATATGTATGATCACATTAAATATATTTCCATATTAGTCATGTTGTGAAAGATGAATCAGAAGAAAAGGGAAAAACTGCAAGAAAGAAAAAAAAACAAAAAAGAGAAAATAGTGTGCTTCGATCTGCATTCAGACTCCATAGTTCTTTCTCTGGATGTGGATAGTATCTTCCATCATGAATCTTTTGGAATTGTCTTGGATCATCGCATTGCTGAGAAGAGCTAAATCTATCATAGTTAATCATTGCACCATGTTGCTGTTGCTATGTACAATGCTCTCCTGTCAACAAGCATTTATTAAGGACCTACTGTGTTCCAGGCACAATGATGCTTACTCTCGGTGATGGGATACAAAGAAAAGTGAAAAACAGTCTCTGCTGTCAAGAAAATCACAAGGAGTTCAAAGAGTTTATTCTCTCTGTGTGTGGGTGTGGTTGTGTACACACACACCCACACACACCCACATATATATATATATATATATATATATATATATATATATATATATCTGTAGATATGTCTATATACAGACACAGTGTCTGTGTGTGTATGTGTGTATGTATGTATGTATGTATGTGTTGTGTGTGTGTGTGTGTGTGTGTGTGTGTGTGTGTACAGGATAAATTGGAGAAAATCAACAGAGGAAAAGTCTCTAATAACTAGCAATCCTGAGAGGGGCAATCAGCCCCTCCTCCTTGAGATTTTCTCCATGGAATTAACTCTAGAGGGAGAAAAGTATTTATAGTAGAAATAACAATGGATTTGGAGTCAGAAGACTTGATTTGTATCCTGTCTTTGCTACTTAATAAATGATATGACCTTGGCCAAGTCAGTTAACTTCACTAAGTTTTGATTTCCTCATCTATAAATGGAGGAAATTAATATTTATATGAAAGAAAAATAATGTACTCTGCCTTTGGGGCACAAGCCTTACATGGACCAATTAATAAAATCATTAAGGTAAATTAAAATTTAATAAAAGAAATTCTAATTCTAGGCACCTTTTGTGAGAGAGGGGAAGAAAAGGTAAAGAAATTCATTCTACTCTTAAAAATCTCTTACACATCCCATTTCCATTTATAATTTACAGTGTTCCCAAAGACAAAATTCTACAATAAGATAAAGCATAGTTACGGATTTTGGGTTAAAGATCAGTTAATGGTTGTGATTCATCAAAGAGAACAGTAATCACCTTTGGGCATACTCTGGAAAATTATTTTCCTGAAATTATTCAATTCCACTCTAACCACTCTCTCTAGGGATTCTTCTTTCAGCTTGGTCAAAGGTGAACCCAAGAGATACTTCTAGTAATTGAATTAATCTTCCTTGTGCAAAAAGAATTTCCTACAGTAATAATGCACAGCAAGAGTAGCAGCATTATGTTGGTAAATATTTAACGACTCACACTCTGGGGAGAAAAATGTATATACAATACACTTCTAAGTTCCATCTGTATCATTAACATTTTTTCCATCACTTTCTTAAGTCTAGACAATCATCAGACTGAGGACTTTTTTTTCCCCATTAGGCAATTGGGGTTAAGTGACTTGCCCAGGGTCACACAGCTAGGAAGTGTCAAATGTTTGGTCTGAGGCCGGATTTGAATTCAGGTCTTCCTGATTTCGGGGCCAGTGCTCTATCCACTAGCTGCCCCAAGTCTAGACAATCAACATAACAAATCAAGCCTTGATTTGTAGCATTTGCTGATTTCCAAGGTATAAATGCCTATGCTGAAAATTTAACAATCAGCCCTCCAGAGCCAGTACAAGCTGCCTCCACACACCACTGGTAACACCATCTGTAGCAATGAAGGGGGAAGGGATAGAAGATAAAGTCACAGATGCTAACCAAAATGGAAAAAAAAAAAAGCATGATATGGATGTGAGCTATTATTATTATACAGAGAGATTTTCCTGAGGAGACCAGTGAACTCCTAGGTGGCTGAAATCACTAGTTTGCCCTGCTCTTGATAAAGTACAACCAGAGATTAAACAGGGGATGAGCAAAACTGGCCCTCCTGACGCTCAGTGCTTGGGTGCTTTGGAGATGATGAAGCATGAGGCTGCTTTTGATGACTCAGTGCTGAAAGGTGCTTTAGGATGACAAAACCATCACTTTATTGGTGACTGAATAGGAAGAGCCAATGATTCATTGAATCTTGAAAAAGGAAATGACTCTCCGCTAGCTTTCTTTTACCTCAGACTTCCTTATGCCAGATAGCTGTCCCATGAGGGGTAGGAACTGGGACCACCCTTCTTCCCACTCCAACAAAAATGGCCGATTTACAAAGAACATGGGTATTAAAGTATGTACTACCAAGGCAAGCTAGAGCTTGGGTTTTAGGCTGCTTCTTCTGTGTCAGTGTTTCTTGGCTTGATCCAAGCTGACTGGGGCACCAGTCTCAAGATGGCCAGGTCCAGGCTTGGAGCTGATCTCGGAGGTCTTGGGTTCATCAGGTCAGAGCTGGCTGATGGCAAGGGAAGGAGTCCTCAACAAGGATTCCAGTGCTTCTAGAAGAACCCAGCTTTGTAACTATTTAGTCATTCATAGAGAGTCAGAGAGTGGGTGAAGACAGCAAGTTTTGGCTTCATTTGACCATGGAAAAGAAATGGAAAAGTAAGTTAAAAACACACTTGTAGCTGGTGAGTTGAGGGAGGTTAGGATTATTTTGGGTCCATGCTTATGACTTTTTATAATACAATACCAAATAATATCTGACAATCCCACCATGTGATGTTTCAAGACACACTTGTCATTCATAGCTTAAATCACAAAAACATTACAGGCTCATAGGACTATAGAATTTAGTTAGCGCCAGAAAGGAATTTTGAGATTATCTCATCTACCACCACCTCCATTTTACAGAAGAAAAAAACTGGAGCCTAGAAGGGTTAAGTGACTTGAATAAGATGGTTTATCTGTATATTAACTATGCAGGATTCAAACTCAGGTTCTCTGGTACTAAAACCCATGTTCTTTTCCCTATATCACAATAAAATGGACGGATGGTGGAAAGTCATGCATGGGCTATGAGGGAAAATACGTATGCCCAGGCACTTTCAATCTTTTGTGATTTTTTGGATCTTTTTTAAGCAAGAGTTAAAAAAGTGATCAAAGCCTTTGGTTTGGTAATTCAACAAATGGGAATGTATTCCAAGGAAATAACGCAAAAGTGAGGAGGAACCCATATTTACACAACTATGTTTACAACACTATTATAGATAAAACCTGGAAATAATCCAAGTGCTCAAAGTCTAAGAAATGTTAGGTAGAGTGTGATATGTTAGAGCAATGCAGTATTGCTATTGAGAGACAGAGTGAGGTCTTGCGAAAAAGACCCTGGGTTCTAGATAAGAGAGCCTGAGATCCCAGGTATGCTACTTACTACTCACTGACCTTGCACAATCACTTAACCTCTTCAGGGCCTCAGTTTCCTCAGCTATAAAATTAGGACTAGGTGACCTCTACAATCCATCCGTTCTTGCTCTAAATCTATGATCCAATGATAATAACAAATATGAAGACATCTCAAAAATATGAAAAGGCCTTTGTTGTTCAGTTGTTTCTGTCTCTTTTGTGACCCCATTTGGGGTTTCTTGGAAAAGATACCCGAAAGGCTTGCCATTTCCTACTCCAGCTCATTTTACAGATGAGGAAATGAAGGCAGACAGGGTTAAGTGACTTGCCCAGCATCACCCAATCAGTAAGTGTCTAAGGCCATACTTGAACTCATAACTTTAAAGTCTTCCTGACTCTAGGCCCAGAACTCTATCCACTGCACCACTGAGCTGCCCAGAAACATCCTTACAAAATAACGTTAAGTAGGATTCAGAAGGAACTATGTAAGGAACATGAGAGTACATGTAGTTGTACAGAAATGGTGCTGGAGGAAGAGTCAGAAGTCCTGGGTTTGAATCGCAGCATTTACTATCTATGTAGCCATTGGCAAGGACCTCACTTTTCTGAGCTTCAGTTTCTTCCCATATAAAAGGGTATGATAATAATACTTTTATTTCCTATCTCATAGAGTTGTTGTGAGGAAAGTCTTTGTGAACCTTAAAATCTTATACTGAAATGAGTTATTACATCTGGACAATCATATGCCTCCAAAGAAGTGAGAGGTTTTTGTTGTTGCTTCCAGGGATAAAATCAATAGTGACAAAAAAATAAACCTCAAATGAAATATTAACCCATGAAATATTAGAAGACTTTGAGGAAGGTCTCCAGCAAATTGGATGATCTTTGGAAAATTTATGGATAGGCATAGATAAAATCACCCAGGATGAGAAGATGTGGTAAGCATCAGTGAACTCCAGGGTCCAGGTAACTCTCCAGTTTCCATCAGCAGCCCTGCTTGGTTTTGACTCCATGGAACATCGTGCCCTGGCACCAGGTACCCCTTGCTTTTCAGTTTCCTTTTATGTATTGTCTTCACCCATTAAGCTCCTCAAGGTCAAAGATTGTCTTTCTTGTTCTTATTTATACAAATAGTGTCTGGTACATAGTAGACAAGATAAATGTTTATCGGATTGAATAGAATGGTTTTGATGTATATACTTTTTTAAATGTAAAGTTGCTTAAACGTACAGTTTTTGAAATGTCTGCATCACACTTTCAACATCCCTAAATCCCCCTTGATCACTGTTGTAGAAACAGAGGAATAACCAGAGAATGGGCCTCACTCCTGGCAGTTCCTCTCCGTCAAGCAGCACCGAGAACAGGCAATGTTAAGAAGCACCAGGAATGGCAATGGGAAAGTGGGAAAGAGGATCCTTTATCCTTTGATAAAGGATGCTTTTGCCTTGGTACACAGGGCAGGCTTTCAGGAGGTGGTGTTGAACCTACTCCTCAGATCGGAATTGATGTGATGGGCAAAGTCACTTAGCTACCAGACATCCAGGAGGACCTAGATCTGTGAATGTGATCATGGCATATCCTACTACAAAGAGGCAGGTGGGAGGGAGGGAAGGAGAGAATAAGTGGTGCTCCTCAGGCCAGTGGCGTCTGGATGTAGGAAGTTAGAGAAGGTGAGGAGATTTAAAAAAAAATAAAAAAGCACAAACCTCCTATCACAGAAGAGGACTTAAAACCTGTACTTCCTTCCTTAGGGATAAATCATGTCCACAGTAGATGGGATTCAGTGAGACAACAGGAGGCCCAGCAAACCCATTTCTGCACACAGATGTTCAAGACACCGTATATAGTTAGAGATACTATCAGTTTCACTGATGCTCAGATTGCATCTGAACCACACTTTCTTATCCAAGTGATTCTTGTCCGTGTTCTCCCATAAATTCTCCACAGAAGATCACTCAACATGCTGGAGAGTTTCTTCAAAGTCTTTTAATATTTCCTAGGTGCAATATGAATTTATTTTTTTTCACTATTGATTTTATCCCTGAAAATAACAAAAGTTCTTTCTCTTTTTTGGAGGCTTATTTGCTGCTGTCTGAGGTGGCTCTGCCAAGGATCCTAGTTCTGGGGATGCTCTCAGCTAATATGCCCTCACCACATTATCCTCCTATGTTTTTCCCCTTGTTAATCAGTAGTCAATAGACAATTACTTTGAAATTGTGCCCAGGCATAAAGGGAAAATAAGGGCTATCCTTTAGGGAGCATTTCTCAGCAACTAGGGCATTGGAGATGAAAAATTCCCACCAGAAAATTGGAACACTAATGTATTGTTAGTGGAGTTGCGAACTGATCCAACCATTCTAGAGAACAATTTGGAACTATGCCTAAAGGGCTATGATACTGTGCACACCCTTTGACCCAGAAATACTATTACTAGGTCTGTATCCCAAAGAGATCATAAAAAAGGGGAAAGGATCCACATGTACAAAAATATTTATAGCAGCTCTTTTTGTGGTGGCAAAGAAATGGACATTGAGGGGATGCCCATCAACTGGGAAATGGCTGAACAAGTGGTAGTATATGGATGTAATTTTGTTTTATAAGAAATGATGAGCAGGTGGATTTTTGAAAAACCTGGAAAGACTTACATGAACTGATGCTAAGTGAAGTGAGCAGAACCAGGAGAACATTGTGCACAGTAACAGCAACACTGTGTGATGACCAATTTGATAGACTTAGCTCTTCTTAGCAATGCAATGATCTAAGACAATTCCAAAAGATTCATGATAGAAAATGCTATCCACATCTGGAGAAAACTATGGAGTTTGAATGCAGATTGAAGCACACTATTTTCTCTTTTTTGTTTTTTTTCTTTCTTGAGGTTTTTCTCTTTCATTATGATTCTTCTTTCACACCATGAGTAATGTGGAAGTATGTTTTAAAAAAGAAAGAAAAAAATTCCTACCAAAGTTGACACCAAAGCAGGCCAATGTTCTGAGCAGGCTTTGCAGGGAGCCATGCAGCACTCTCATCATTAAGACACCAAACTGGGACAGATGCATCAGTCAGCAACTAGGATCTGGCCCAGGGGTTTAGTGACATGGAAGAAGGGACTTAACTTCTGGCCCCCCCAAAATGTCTCAACCTTGTACTAACTCTCTCTCTCTCTCTCTCTCTCTCTCTCTCTCTCTCTCTCTCTCTCTCCCTCTTTCTCTCTCTTTCCCCTTTCCTCCTTCCCTCTCTTCTCTCTCTCTCACTCTCTCTCTCTCTCTCTCTCTCTCTCTCTCTCTCTCTCTCTCTCTCTCTCCTTCCTCTCCCTTTCTTTCCTGAAAGATGCTTCAGAAGTCAGGTGGTTACAAAACTTTTTACCTCTTGGTTATCTACTTCTAAACCTTCCTACTCCTGGTGACAACCTAAATGGACTGAATGCCAAACATCCATCTATTTATGCTTTCCCAGGTCAGCAGCAGATCACTTTGATAGGAGAAGAAGGAAATCCATGATTCAGTGGTTAGTACTGCTCATTCTGATCTCACATACTGTGCCAGCTACCAGTTCTTCCCAGAACCCCTTGGCTCTGCATATTTGCTCTGACTTACCTCATTATAGTTCCTAGAGGGATCAGGACAGAGATAAGGTGATGACTTACTATGACTAGAGACCGTCCTTTACTTCTTCACTCAGGCTTACAAGATACATTGTAAAACGCTACCTGCTCCAAAGACCTCCTTTCCGTATTTTAGTAGTATTCGGTGACAACAATGCTGCTGCTGCTAATAATAACTGGCATTTTCTAAGCCAAAATACAGTATTTTATTAATAATACAGTTAACGCCTCAGGGTTTCTCAACATTTTACAATCTGACTTTCATCTCCTTAAATTAACAAAATATGACAGCTAGAGGGTGCCATGGAGATCATCAATCCGGGCCAACTCCTTCGTTTTATGCAGTGAAAAAGCAAAGCTAAGAGAGGGGACATAACTTGTACAATATCACTGAGCTGGTAAGCAAGTGTTTGAAGCCAGTATTCCCAGTTCAGATGTCTTTCTCTTATAATACTGCTTCTTTAACACTCACCAGATCAGTGATGTCTTTCCAGTCTGCATCCTACTTAATCTCTTTTCAGGTGTTCTCAACACAGAACACAGTGTTCTGCGGACTCTTTTTAAAAAATATTTTGCTACTTGTTTTTCAATGTAATTGGCTTCCTTTCTCATCCTATGCATATT